AATATTAAAAAAAATTCCCAGGCAAAGTCCAAAGCAATATTATGAAAAATTCTTCCAAGCCCAATAAAAGATCATAATAATTTTGGTAGTTAAGAACTGAAATAAAATATTTAAATAATCATAATGAATTTAAAAATACAATCAAAATTCAGATTGGTTTTTTGATCAGGTCAAGCCCAGGCCTGCAAAAAAATTAGTTTTGGGCTAATGTCTGACCTATAATTAATAATAAAAAAATTCTCAAGCGTCCAAGCTCATAATAATTTTGAAAAATTTCCCCCAAGCCCAGCCCAATATAATTTATAAAAATATTTTCAGCCCAGCCCAACCCATAATTATTTTATAAAAAAAATTCTCAAACCTGGCCAACCGATAGTAATTTAATATTTTTTTTCCAAGCCTAGAGATAGGTAAATCTCTAAAAACCATATCTTTTTAGTCTATTTTAACCCAGCTCACCCCAACCAAGGCCAACCCATTAAGACTAAAAGTGAATACTATTTTTTTGAATAAAAATATATTTAAATTAGATTTTACCTGAGGGCCATATAAATATATTTGTGTTAAATATTACACCTATGCCTAATATTAAAAAATTCCCAAGCCAGGTCCTCGCACTTGGTTTTCTCAAACCCGCAAAAGACCATAATAATTTTGATAGTTGAGGACTGAAATAAAATATATAAAAAGTCACAATGCATTTAAAAATACAATCAGAATATGAAAGTTGCATGGGCCTTGGTTTTTCATCAGGCCTTGCCATGTTTTCAAAAGAAATTTTCAGGCCAATTTCTAGCCCATATTTAAAATTAAAAAATTTACAGGAATCTTAGACTATAATAATTATGAAAATGTTTCTCAGTCCATATTAATGGTGAAAAATATTTCACAAGCCCAGGAAAACCCAAATAATTTATTTTGATCCAGAAAAATAGGTCTGATGTAAGGGGTTTATAAGAATTAAATCTGTCACATTTTTAAATTTTGATATTTCTAATACATGCTCACAGTATACATTGCAACAATTTTACCTTTTTTACTCTTAAATTTTAATATTTATATAAAATTTATTAATTAATAAAGTATATTTAATACCATACAAACAAACTATAAACTAAATAATTACCCTTCAACCCATGGTTTTTTGATCAGGCCTGGCTATGTCTGCAAAAAAAATTTCAGACCAATCTATAACCCATATTTAAAATTCAAAAATCTTAAAGCACCTCTATTTTTAATTTTTATTAAATATGATTTCCATCACATTTTTAAATTTTGATATTGCTAATACATGCTCACACACAGTATACATTGCAACAATTTTACCTCTTTTACTCTTAAATTTTAATATTTATATAAAATAATAAAGTATATTTAATACCATACACACAAACTAAATAATTACTCTTCAACATCTATATAATTTTTAAATTTATTTATATTCAAGTTGGTGCATGCGGTAAAGAATATGCCTTTGAAACGGGAGCTCGAGTTCGATTCTCGTAGAGAGCAAAAAATTAACATTACACTATATAGTCTCCTTAAATTTAAAATACATTAGGGAGATACGAAAACGATCGTGTTATGATTATGGAGATTATATATATTAGATAAATACTCGAAATACTATCTATAAATTATTAAAATTAAATACTAAATACAAAAAAAAACAGTATATTTATATTTAGTAATGTTAAATCTAATATTCGTGATAATGCCCAATCCTGCCCAGCACTTATATATCGCTAGCGATTTTATAAAATAATCATAAAATTTTGGAAATTGAGGTTCAAAAACATTTTAATTCACGTTGAATCACGGGCACATACGACTGACAAAAAGACACCGAACAAAGATACCAAGAATTAAACGCCTAAAAATGGGCAAACATTTTAAGCATTTAAACAAATTTCTTAAAATTGGGGTATTTTTGCCCCAATTGTCTTTATGTCCGGGGTACATTGGTTTTTTTTGTCCAGGACATTTCTGTGATTCATTCAAATTATAGTAAAACCCGGTTATAACGTTTTCCCTGATATTTAAACCCAAATTTAATAAATCGAGGTTTATTACAGTAAAGTGTAATCCAATTTAAATGTTTTTATGATTATATTTATTTTTTTTTTAAATTATAATATACTACTTTTTATAAAATTTGACCTTATATTATGATTAAAATTAACACAAATTCAATAATGAACTAATCATTTAAATTTAATCTAAAACTTAATTTATCTTATTATTCATAAATTGACTGATTTAATAAGGCATAAAAGAGTATATAAATAAATAAAAAAAATTTAAAAATATATATTTCTAAGAAAGAATTCAAAAGATAACGGGGTGAGGGGGGGGTATATAATGGTGAAGTATAAATGCTAAATAGAAAGTAATGATGATGTGCGTCAGACCTCATTGTTCTTATATTAGGTAGATAGATACCTTGATTAAGATCCCGCAAGACCCTGGTTCGATGGCAGGGGCGGACTGGCCATAAGACCCGGTGGGCATTTTGCCCACGAGGCCGCGAGAAAATGTCGATTTTTAAGGCCGATCAGAGGAAAATATCAAAATAGATGCCGATTAGAAAAAAATTATTATTATGTTACATTATTTTCTCTTATCATTTATTTATTTTTAATGATATCTCTATGATTTCAATATCACATTCCTTGAGAATTGTCATGTGGTTTACTCGTCGCTTGACGCTACACATCATTACCACGTTATTTTCTTTATTTTTTATAAATGCTTCTATTTGAGTAGAGTGAAAGCTAAGTTTTGATTAATTTATTATATTATATTTTTATACATTGATTTATTGTAGAAATAATATAGCCAACATTTCTAGTTCTTAATTCATTGAAATCAAATAAAATCCAGGTCGGTGAATCAGATAAAAGGATGGATGCTTGGGTGAAACAGAATAATTCATCTGGCCAGAATAAGTTGAGAAGGCTGCAAAAATAGGTGAGATAGGTGATGGGCACGTGAAAAGGCGGTAGGCACGTGAAAAGGCCCTTAGATGGATATATGTTAAAGAGAGCTTGCTCCCAATAACGATAAAGTCACTGCAATTTATAATAGATAATAAATAATTTGAGACAAAAACTTGAAAATTTATGAAAATTTAAGACAAAAACTTGTAAATTTATATAAATTTAAGACTCTAAGTACAGCTATAATATATTTGGAAATTTTTAAAATAATGGGGCCACAGTCATATCTTCAAACTAAAAAATCAGGTACTTTGTCAGCATGGAAAATGAAAGAAGATGCTAAACCTTCTATATCATTGATTATTACATCGATTCAAAATAAAGCAATAAAATGACTGCTAATTTAAATGAAACATTTTCATATTTATAGCTCCCAGAGAGACAAAATGCTCTGTAAAAAGATCGAATAGGACGAGCGAAGAGAATATATAGCGACAAATGCCAAGATGAACGTCTTCAAGAATCGATTGACCTTTATATCGAACTATTTCATCCTCTAATAACTTTAAACAGCTTATCGGAACTACTTTCTGTTAATTGAGAGCTTATTTTGAATGTGCAATATTTGCATCCAAGACATTTTGATGAAATAAATAGTAAAGGTATTTATGAAAAGGTCTTGAAAAAACTGGCACAATTGGCATATATATTGAGTGTTAAATTTCAATGAATTATGTTCACTTGCCAGTGTATTCAAAGATTTGGTAGCAGAATTAAATGAAACGGACATTGATATCGCATGTACAAGTGAGGAGTCAAATGAAGAAGATGGAATATTACAATATGATAATAAATGTAATAAATGTTTAATATGCGTGTATGAAATTCTTAAAAGATACAATATGCATTCAAGTGACACTAATTTATTTTTGGCATATGAATACATTTTAACTTTATCATTTATGCTGGTTAATTGCGAGAAACATTTAGTAAATTAAAAATTATAAAAATAAGCTGAGAGCTAATATTGAGACCAAGAAAAATTAGAAGCGCTTTTAATGATGTCAATTGAACGAGAAATATTAGCATAGATTGAGCTAGAAGATATTCCTGTATATTTGCGCAAAGGCTCAAAGTTAATGAGAGATTTGTTAACGTAAAAATTATATATTTTCTTAATTCTTTTATTAGAATCTTATTAATATTATATACAGTATGATCGGTGCCTGATTTTATAAAAGTGCAGCAATTTTATTCTCTGTAATATTGTATAACTAATTTTATTATTTATAATTAATTGATTTAATATATTGAGTATGCATTTTTTTATATTTAACATGTGATGTATGATTTGAATTTTATAGTGCAATATCGTTGTAAATCTAATATAAAATATATATTTTAAATGAATATTATTTTATATAGGTAATGAATATGATTTTTAAAAATAAAATATATGATTATCTATAATATTATTCTTTTTTTTTACTAAAAATGTAAAACGTTTGAACTTATTTTCAAAAAATAAGAAGTAATAAAAATCATGTAAATCAAAGAAGCCTTTTAAGGAAACCCGGTCTAAGATCGGGCAAAAGCGGGCCGAAGGCCCGCGAAATGAAGGTATGGGGGCGAGGCCGCTATAAAAAATTCCCACGAGGCCGTAGCGTCGCCAGTCCGCCCCTGTTCGATGGGACCTGTATTTTTCTCTTAAAACCAACAAAAATAAGAAGTTAGCCCAATATGGGGGGATAATTAAAAAATGGCTTAATAAAACTGGGTCGTTTAGTAAATTACAATAATGTTGTCCCAAATGATATATAATAACTAGACTGATAATTTATTCATTTAAATGTATATCAATCAATCAACTGACGGCATGTCATTTAGGTTTCCATATTTATACTATTTAAATTTACACTGGAATTTGGTGAAACTTTTTTTAGAATCAGTAAAAAAAAATTATATGGGAAACCAAAATGGATTTGTATTCAACCAACCTTCAAAATGCATTTTAATGAAGACGTGCATTATCATCAACTCTAAACGAATAATATTTAATACCTTTGATCGGCAGGTGCCACGGCTATCAAGTCAAATTTTTGTGCCTTAGAACTTTTAACGAGCCTTATTTGGTCGATATCATTGAGAACGAATGTAATTCTCTGCAAAATCTGAACACTTTTGCAATTTCGGGATAATACTTCCGAATCTTTAATACATCTCTGTACCGATTCTAAGCTAACCTCCAGGGGATCTGGTATCAACTGTGTTTTTCATTTTTTTAAAGTGAATTAAAATCTTCATTTACTTGTAAATTTAGAAAAAATTTATTCAATATTTTTGTTAAATTAAACAAGAATTCTTTAGTCCAACCAAATGCCTCACAGTCATTAATTACCTTACCTTCATTTTAAAAAAATTTCCCTTCTTACACAATTTATATTACATAAATTAATATTTATACGTCTTCTTTAGAGATAGAAACACGAGCTTTCTTGCGTTTTTTTGTGTTAGTTCCGCTATTGTCCTTAGCAGCAGCACTACTCTGATCCTCGGTAAAGTCGACTATTTGATTCAATGCTATTTTCCGGTAGCCCACTTTTAAGCGAATATTATATTATAAGATATTTGTGTAATTTATAGAAAACATAAAGTATTTTAAAAACAAAAAATCAACTTAATCATAAATTGCTTTTATATAAATCATCTTCCAATTTTAAGGATTATTAAGAAATTAGGTTTCATTATTTTTAATTCTTATCCTAAGATACCAAATAAATTCCCATTTGCAGTAAAAAAAATTTTTTTTTTAAAACTAAGATTAGAGTTATAATCATTTATTTTTTTTGTTATTAAAATAATGTATTTCTTAAAAAATGAAACATTTTTTAAATTATTTTAGGGTGATTTTAGATTTATGTCCATTTATAAGAAATGCTATATTGGTGATAAATATTTAATTCAAAACTGTCAGCATCAACAAACCTAAGAGAGTAAATACAATCGCTCACTACTATAAAATTATAATATTGTCATAATGCGTTGCCGCTAGTGTTTTTTTAAATGCCCTTAATACGATATCCTATCTGTGATTTGTAAGGAGAGGTGTCCCGAGACAAAAACCGATGTCGCCATAGTATCTTCACATGTTTAAAAGTAATATCATAAAATTTACACGATAATAGATGGGCAAATTTAAAATTTGAAAAAAGAAAATGATCAAATAATAGTTCCGTTATTTTTTTTGCAAAATTAATATCCGCGTACATTTTTTTTTGCGCATATATTAATAATTATGAAATTTTTTTAAAAAATTGGCATTAAATCCGTTTTTTTTGTTTTTGAAAATTTTGGACGGTCGAATAAAATATTTTTCTTCAAAATACCATTATCGACATCAATCCTTACTAGTAATAGCGGTAGATCAATCGAGATCCTAACTCATTAAGACGGTTCCATGTTAATTCAGCCAAACTTTTATCTCAAAACACTTTTTCGCGATAAAAGTTTGCTGAATTGATCTGATACGCATTAGGAACTAAATTACGGAAAGATCTAAGGCAGATCCAATGTTGTTGCAATGACAACACTCTTATCAATTCATTATTAAGTTTGAAATAATAAGTGCTGGTAAGCGAAGATCTCGGGGGACAGAAATCTAACTTGATTGCCCGCTTTATGTTAAAATGATATTGCGTTTGGTAAAATCAGAGCTTGATAGCGAAATCCCCGGAAATGGAATAAATCCAAGAATCGGATGTATCATTTTTAAAAAAATTTAAGAACCTGAATAAGAAGTATCTTTATAAGCTGCGACCTAATTCGTAACTATAACGATAGAGAGAAATAAAGTTATTCTTAATGTAAATGGTCTAAATCATTTTTTAGAATTTACGAAATTTTATTTATTTTTGTGATGTTAGATAAATTAATAAAAATTTAATTGATAAAGTGTGAAATTTTTAGGAAAAAGAAAATGGAAGATGTCATGTTTCATAATTTTGTAAAGCTACAAAATTTTAAAATTTTTAGTTTTTAAATATATATAGGTCCTAGCGAGGGATGAAAGAGAAAATTGTAGCGAAAATCGGATACCGGATGCCACCTGAGAGTGTGGCCTGAAGCCAGGATGAGTATGAAAATTTTGTGTTCATTATATTTTCGAGGAGGTGCCTTAGCCGTCTTTTTTTAGCAAATGCTAAGCCTAAATCGAACAATTTTTTTGACTAATAAACATGATTGTGCTTATTATTTTTAATTTTAGTTATTGCTATTTTATAACTTACGTGTCCTGATGCATTCGCTCAATATAGATGCTTAAGGGATATGACTTGTTCATTCATTAATTAGTCATTTTTAAGAAAATCTTCATGAGTTTTTGTAGAAATTGTTTGGTGTGTCCCAAAATCAAGAAACCCTTTCTTTCTATTAGAAGTTAGTATTTTTTTTTAACCAATGAAATGAGCGAATTTTTTTTAATGATGAATCGTCTATAACAAATTATTTCACAAATAATATAGGCAAGATAATCATTTTTTTTATACTTTCACTGTCACATTTCTTATCATCTTCTAAATATTAAATGTTTCAAATTTAGATAAGAAAAAAAGGGGCAATGGAACGTGGATAATTTTATACCTTAACACCCAATCTCTTAACTATTATGCTAAAATTCCAAGCTAGATCTGACCCATTCAATAAAATTATGTTTTCAAGATTAAATAATAATTTAAGTAAATTGAATGAGCACAGGACCCTTTAAATTATGGATAACAATTATTTAGATCATCTTATTAGAAAAGAGTATTTTTATCATTTGGAATTCATTCCAAATTAACTTAGGAATTGCAAGATAAAATAGATTTTATTTTAAAGGATTAAATTCATATACCAATATGGAGGGTTTACTATAGATAATACTTGTGATTGTTAATCTGTTATTACTAGTTTTCATTGTTTAATTATACACCCTCAGCTTTTTCTTATTGTAAATTAACAATATAATAAAAAATTAAAAGAAAAAAAAGTTTAGTTTAAGAATAATTAAGTGATTTTTCACTACAATAAAGATTAGAATTAATAATTATTTTTATACATTTATTTTTTTAAATTAAATTTCGGGATAATCGAAAAACTTTTTCTTTCCTTATATTTAAAAGTATTTTGATCAAATTTGGTAAATGAAATAGTATTAAAAAATATTGATTAAAATCGCACATGTTTTTAAAATGAGAGTGATTTAAATCGAGAATTTAATCAAATTGATCTTAAATATGAATATATCGTCAATTTATGTAGTATTATATGTCATTACTCCTCCAGATATAAATTAACCCCATCATTCGAGGGAAAAAAATATACTTAAACTGGGTAGAAATTTCCATATATTTACTAAATCCTATTTCAAATTTGTGCTGGGCAATCCGGGGTAGACCGAAAACTTTTCTTAATCAATGGGTTCGATGAGAGCTAAATTTTATTTATTTATTAAAACACTATATCAAAAGTTTTACCCTGGTTACGCTTAATTATTGTTTACGTGATCGTAAATGAACTACGGGATTTTTAAGCTGATAATTCAATTAATTTTTAATATATTTTGTTTAGATCATTCACTCAAATATTTTTTTCTACAATTTCTAGGCATGTTATAAATTCGAGGTAGTTGTGACCCTGCATTCAGTTAGCGCTAATTCGGGGCGAGGTATTGCGAAAATGAGTGTAAAATTATTATATTTATATCATATTTTGTATACTTCGCTGCTAATTCGCGCTTACTGTGAATGTAAGTTAGGTTGAGCTCAATGATATATAATAATAATACCTAAACTGACGATGCATTCATTAAAACTGTACATCAATGAAAACAGCCGGGGACGCCATTTTGGTTACCCATATCATTATTAAAAAATTTTAAATGAGAGGCTAATACATTCCTGTGTCTGACGCAAACTTTATTATAGAAATTGCCTGATCATCGAGATAATAAGAAAGCAAGTTATCAATTTAATAGTAGTTTTTAACATGAGAATAATTACTATATGGGTTACCAAAATGGCGAATCCAGCTGATTTACATTTTTCAAATGCATTATTAATGCATCGACAGTCTAGGTATTATTATATGTCACTGGTTAATCTATAAAGGGGATATCGGTGTATCTCCGTGTCCGGATTAAATATTCCCAGAAATTTTCTATAAAAAAAATGGAGGGTGGGGATTTTTTTTTAAAAAAAAAACATGATTTGAAATATCTTTCATAAATTTTATTATTTTTACAAAATATACTCTTTTTTCTTAGAAAAAAAAATAGTATAATTATTATGAATTTATTAGGGAATAAATAATATTTTTTTAAAAAAATATATAAATTAATATCATAATAAATCTATAAATGAATCGAACGGTAAGAGATATTTTATATGGTAAATTACATATTTTATTTTTTTTTATTAAACCATTAAATTTAGTTTTGTTTGGGTAACGCTTAAAAAAAATTCAAATTCGGACATTTTTATTTCACATTTTGATAGGGGGGGGGGGGAGTTTGACGATACCTAGAAGAAAAAAAAAGTATAACATAAAATTAAATATTATTTATTTAGTAATAATATGGGTTTTATCACAAAAATAAAAATGGGAAATATTTTCTTTAAAAAAAATTAATTTCAATCATTTCAATTCATTTTCGAAAATTTGAAGATATAATAAAAAAATAATAACTAATATATCTTTGTAAAAGTTTAATAAAAATATATCATTAACATACATAATCATGTTTCATGTATATTATTATTATTATAATAATTAATAAGTAAAGTAAACGAGAAAATTAATTTTTTGGCGTGGTTTATTTTTAATTAACTTTTTTTTCGTTGATTTTTAATTATGAAAAATATAAATAAAAAATATACCATATATAAAATTATTTTATTTATTATAAAGATTTGGACACTAATATCTTATTGAATTTTAATATCAATTTTTTTTAAATAATAATATATATATTTTTTTTTAATTATCAAAATAAGTAACAAATCCTATTATCATTATATAATAAAAATTAGGGTCCTAAAAAGTTAACACTCAATGATGGGAACGTTTGCTATATAAAATTTTGTTGATAATTTATCTATCGATAAATATGAAGCGTGATATTTGGCGGACAGTATACAATCTCGCAATTACTTTAAAATATTAAATTAGCAAAAAAATAAAATATACAATAATTTTATAGTTCATTTTGTAGTTTGAATGATTTTTTTTCTTGAAAAAATAAATGGAATAGCTATTATTATAATATGAGATTTTAACCATAATGAAGAGTAATAAAAAAAAATGAATATAATTAAATTTTACGTGAAATAATGCAAACTGACGGCCATATTATGAATAAATGATTAAAGAGGATAGAGTCGAATTTCAATTTCGAAATGATCCGAGAAGCGTAAAGTTAAAACGAAAAGGGAATGATAAAACTTTACAATTATCAAAAAGCATTAAGAAAATAATGATATATATATGTATAATATAATGATTTTTTTGAAAATAATTTCAATTTTGCATTTTAAAAAAAACGATTCCCAAAACATGAACTAAATGTATAATTTTGATGACTTGATAATGCGAGAAAAGGTGATTTCGTTGACGAGTTCTTATATTCGATTGAAACTCGCTCCGCGTGAAGCACTATTAGAATCTCGAGTAACGAAAGGGTGCCTAGACGACGTGTAAAAGCTTTCGTTGTCGGGATAATTAGGTATAGAGTTGCAGTTATTACGATTGTTATACGGGACAGTATTTTGATTATTTTTACTCGAGTAAACGGCGTTTTTATTATTATCAGCAATCTTGATATTGTGGTAGTTGGGTTCATGATTTGGCTTAAAATCGAGCATATCTTTACCCAAAACTCCACTATTTGGCGCCGTCCCGCCATAGGTATGAGGTGCCTTAACTGAACAACCCTCTTCACGATTATCATTTATTTTAGTATTCGTTTTATCGTTCCCAATAATATTGTTGTGATAGAGGCCATCACCATCCGAGTTAGCGAAATTATTTTTGCTCAAATTAGGCGCGTATTGAAGTTCCGAGGTAAGTTTTGAGTGGTCAGTATTATTTTGTTCTTTATCGATGTATGGTTGTTGGTTGTTAGCCGCATTAGCGTTGAAGGCAACGGAATGGATGTTGCGAGCGAGCACTGACCTGACATCAGTGACAAATCGGAGTGCATCAAGAAATGGTAGGAGATCAAGGAGGGCACGATCTGTTGGGTCGCTGAACCATGAAGCGATATGTAGCCCATTCTGTGGGTGACGAGAGCGATATGCTGCAGGGGAGTTGTCCAACAGCAGCACTCTAGAAAGATCAGGTTCTACTAGGGATATGTCCTTGCTAAACGTTCCCCCGGGTTCTAGCTTGCAGTGCTGACGAAAATAGCGACGACCCAAAATTGTAGCAGGACCACTCTTTTCCTTAACATTGTCCTGAGTTTGGCCCAATACTTGCGATGTTTGCGAAAAGGAGCAAGATTGTGAAAGAGAAGTGGTCATTTTAGAGTTGGGATAAGAATACTGCTTATTATCTTTAAAATCATCATAGTTTTTGTGATCAGTTGATTGATTTGTAGCCTTTTTTCCATTCATTGTGACATTGTGATCCAATTTAACATCATCATTTTCCTCATCAAAAAAGTCTCGAGTTAGATATAGTGGTTGATCCAGCTTATCGGCAACTCCTGAGCCATAGACCTGCATGCTAGCTGTATAAACAACAAGATCATACCATTGACTAATGACCCTTAAGAAATTGTCTACATGGGGACGTTTATACACAAAGAATCTTACAGGGTGTCTGTCTATGCACAGTTTAAGGATAAAGTCAGGCTCTTTTGATGGGGGCAAATTATTTGTGTTGACTTTGTTTGTGGTAGAGGAATTTGTTGGTGTTAATGATTCCACTATGAATCGAGGAATCTCAACAAAGAAAAATGTGAAAAACATTATTACAAAATATACCATAGTGGCTATATATCCACTAGATAAATTAGGGTTTGAAAATGTATTTTTATTGTAAGAATTGTAGTTCCTTTTGCCTAAAAGATAATTACTATCAATCAATTCTTTTTTATTGTATTCATTATAATTTAAATTGTTGTAAGAAGGAGTTTTACATAAATATTTATTGTTTAAACCTTCCCCACCTAAAATTTGATTTTGATTTGATTTGTTATATTTTAACTTTTGTGGATAAAAAATATTAAGTAGACTATTGAGACGATGTATAAAAGTGGATTTATTTGATATGATGGAGCTTTTATTTTCTATACACATTAAACTTGATATGTTTTTAAAATTACAATAGTAATTATAAAAATTTGTTATGCTATATGTATTATTATCATAGCCTTTGTTTGGGTTATTAAAAAACTGATTAGTTCTCCAAAAAATGTTATTCTCGTGGTAAGAATGAATAAGAGTTTCATCCAAATCAAGGATTAGCACTTTCCTTTTAACATTATTTAATAACTGATATGAAAGTGGGCTAAGATATCCTAAAGTAGTTTTATCATTAATCTCATCTTCTACTTGTTGTTGCTCACTTATCTCTCCCATTTGTAATTTGGACAATTCATCTATTGGTTTGTCATTTTTATTTAAAATTTTTTCATTGATAATTATTTGCTGAAAATCACAATTAAATCTTCTAAAAAATGAATCACAATAATCTTGAATAACTTTTAAGATCTTAGGGAATATATGAATTGAAAATGTCTTGTCATATTTATTGAGCTTATCAAATTCAGTGAGACCAGATGATGAAAAAAGTTTTAAAAATACCAGGTATAAAATTGCTAATGTTATTTGTATGCATCGGGATATTATGTTGAATGGTGAAAATAATACATATAGAATCCAACTTAAAACATGGTGTAATTTTATATGTGAATCTGTCTTCAAAATACCATTGCCAACAAATTTATAAAAATTATTGAATCTATATTTATTATTAGCTTGTTGGAATGAATTCTGCCTGTTTATCATTTTTCATTTGGTTTGGTTTTACAAAATCAAAGCTAAAACTTGAAAATTTAGTGATTAATAAATTACATATATTTAATAAAATCACATTCTTAAAAATGAATAGAGCCAGATCTAATTTTATAAATATAATCTTTCTAAATAAAACTTTAATTGTAAGCAAAATATCACATTCATATTATCAAATAGAAATTTACCAATAACATAAAAATTATTTAATTTTATATAAAATTATATTCGCAAAATCCCATTTCATAAGAATATTAAATACGAATTTAATGAATTGAATATATAAAACTTACGTTCGAGAGAAGCTTTGACCTTTTCATATAAGTTTTCATTTCGCTTGGTAATAATATTTAGATCACAAAATGAAGACATCGATATAATTAGTTTAATTTAAAAATAATAACTTTTTGGTTATATTTGGGTACAATTATATTATTTCAAAATATTATTAAACTATTAAATATAATAAATTTTTATAATTTCTAAGTTATTTAAACTCAAATTGAACTCTCTTAACTAGGTTAAATTAATAATATCTCTCAAAAGCTAAAAATTTGTCTCTGGGCATGAAATGAAAACAAATATTATTTTAGGAGCCTCTACCCTTTATTTCATATTTATTGATATTGACCATATATGACAAAATTTATTATAATACCTAGAAAATTCAGAAAATCATGTATATTCTTTGAATATAATTTTTATTGAAATATAATTTTTTATTTATATCAATAAATCATGCTTCAATAAAATTTATATATAGATCAATAATCTGTATCAGCAAGGAAATGTTATCATCGTGCACATACGTTAATGCCATGAAATAATGAAAATAATGCAATTAAATATTTTATTTTGTATAATATAGAATAGAGGTGAAAAGAACTACCAAAAATATACGAGTAAATAGAAATGGGGGGGGGGGGGGGGTCTTGTTACAAAATAAAAAACATTATTTATATATAAGCTAATAATATCATGGAATTATATATTATATAATGATTAAAAGTGAAACAAAAAATTCATTCATAAATAATAATTTAATCTTCTTAGTTTGGGATGGATATCAAATCTAGTATTATTAAATTATATGTTTTCCGTAATAAAATAAAAAATAAAATTTCTCTCTGTGCTTTGCTTATTGGTATTGCCAAAATTTACAGCAATCATTTTTTATATATTTAAAAAAATCTCAAATATAGTTAAAGTATGGGATGTTTTCATTCCGTTTCTTGAAATATTATCTAATATAATTTTTCTTTTATTATAAGATTTTGAAATTAATTCCATCTACATTATAAAGCAGTCCAATAGGCTTAGTCAGAGGGGGGGGGGGCTAGGTGAAATTTTTCTTCCCCCTTCAGAAATTTATCACTTTTTGTGAATATCATTTTAAGTTAATAAAAATATCCTCCATAGTCGTACTCCTCTCTCCACCCCCTGTATCCCAAAAATGTATACATATACCTTAAACTATTGATTTTAATGAATACATTTTTGGAAAAAAGCAAATTATATATAAAATAAGTGAAACCAAAAATGTTTTTTAGGAAAAGAAATATAAGCCAAAGCTAAAGATAAGTCTTAAAGCAAAAATGAAATGTGTAATAATTACTATTATTAGATTCATAAAATTATTAAAATATAATTTTTCATAAAGTGACTTATTTTCTCAATAAAATAAAATATATATAAAATTAATGATAAAATTAAATTATAAGTTAAGTAAAAGTTAACGCAACAATACAAACAGTCGAATATTGTGTGTCGTGGATTTACAGTATATCATGACAATCAAATAATCTTTACCTATAGGGAATTATATATTTTACAGAGGACATCAGAAAATATCTTTTAAAGAATGTAAATGAAAAAAATAGTTCTATATTTCAGTATTGTTAATATCTAATAAGGTACATCTATTGTGGAATGAATAATAAGATGTTTAACTTTTAATAATATTTTTAAATAAATAGATGGCGTTAAAGATTTGAATGCAAATTGTTACTTATATTTATTATCAAAAGTAGTTATTAGTAAAATTTATTAAAATATTAAATGTAATATATTAAATAACTCATACATGTCTGTAAAAGTGGCATTCTACATAATATTTTGTAACCAAACCAATTTTATACAACTTACTTTTTATAAAGAAATTTCTTATACTTGTTTGGAATAAATTTTTACCAGTTTTTGTATTAATGTATAAATATATGTGTGTAATTTATTATTTTATATAAACCAGAGACCTGCATCCCGGCATTAAACGGGCCGGGCCGTATTTTAAATTTTTAAAATATACCCGGGCCGGGCCTGTAAAATATTTTTTTTTAAATACCCGGGCCGTAAAATTTTTTTAAAAAATTTTTACAACATTACTATATTCGTCAATTAGATATGATTATAATGATTATATATAGTTATGATTAATATAATGTTGGGTGAAAGTCAACAATAGCTAACACTCATAGTATCTATTACATTAAATAATTATAGTTTACCTGCCATTGAATAAATACGCGAAGAAGAATAGGTAATAAATATATTATTATATAATATATATTATATTTTTTATTAATTAGAATATCAGCTTTTTTTTTTATAAATACAATTAATATAGTATATTCTCAAAATATTATTTACATAAATTTTTTATAGTATCAATTTGTAATATACTAAATATCTGTTTAGAATATAAAAAAAATAAAGTATTTAATATGTAGTGTTGTTAAACGGCTCGTTTTGAGCCGATTTTTAAAAACGGCTAACACAGTATTTTATCTAGAAAAATATTACGCAAGCCTGAAAATTTTGTTCCTAAAAGGAGCAAAGGTCTAGTATCGAAATTTTGAGGCTTACTCAATATTTTTCTGGCTGAAATATTGAGTTATCCGTTTTTCCGTTTAACAACATTAGCTAATATGCTTGCTTATTAAATGATAATACTCGCAGAAAAATATGATAAAATACCGAATAGGTGAATATTTGTACATACCAGGTAGAATATAATTTTTAAAAATTACAAGCCGGGCCTAAAATAATTTTTTTTAAAAAATCCTGGCCGGGCAAAAAATATCCGGGCCGGGTCTAAAATTTTTAAACCTAAGCCGGGCTGGGCCTTAAAAAATTTTTTGAAAAAAAATCCGAGCCGGGCCGTGCGAATGATACCTCTGCAGGTCTCTGATACAGTCAAAACCGTTTAATTACATATCGCTTAAGTGCAAACATTTTAAATGCGAAAAACCCCCGTGATTTTGATAAAAGTTACTATGGCATAATGTTAAATTTCATTTATAATTGCAAATCGGTTAATTGCTAAATATCGGTTAATTGCGAAATTTTTCAGGTCCCATTTATATGACAATAATTAATTTAATCGGAATAAATTTATCGGAATAAATTATTGCACCTTCACCCTTTTTTAATACAAAAATGGTGATTTTGTTATATATTATAATTATGTTCAAATAAATTTTAGAGTAAAATATCATTCCAAACATTCAGGGGCGTCGCTAGCCTTTACAATCTCAGGTGGCTCAACTAAAAAATATATATGGGGAGCTTCGCCTTCCATACCCTCGATTTGCGGGCCTTCGGCCCGCTTTTGCCCGGCTTTCGGCCGGGTTTTATATAAATATATTATACTCTTTTAAAATTTGTTAAATCTGAACAATTATTCTGAATTTCATATTTTGTCATTTATTATTTATGCATACAAAATAAACTGACACATAAATAATTAAAACAATACAAGACATTTCTAAAAATAAAAATTTTTAATACAAAATCTATTTATTACAATATTTTCGATTGCTGATATAAAAAAATTTTGCGTCTAAAGAATTACAAGAAAAAGATTAATTAATTCATACATATGCCTCAATTGATAGTTTTTAAAAACCATATAATGCAATAATATAATTCTTACAAAAGGTTATCAAACTAATATAACTATTACCATTTTCCACATTTATAGAATGGACAAATAAGGAAAAATTTATAGGCCTAAAATAAATCAACAATTCTTGAAGAAGAGAGTATAAACGACCAATCCAAATCATAAAACTATTAAGATTAGAGCTTCCTTTTAGATGGCATGATGGAAGCTAGATAAGTAATCGATAAAATTATCGTGAGATATTAAATTTCTAAAAGATTATCTTCCATTTTAAATGATATATAAACACACAGTTGACCATTATTGTTTATCTAAAATATGCAATCATATGCTCTCAGCCGTTGTTATAATAATCTTAAATTACATAGAAACACAAATAATAGATACTGAGCCATGACAGTTACGGTGTAAACTTATATCAGAATTTATTATGATGAAATTGATAAAATAAAAACACTAAAATATTTTGAAGAAATAATTATGAAAATATATTGAAGCCTGGAGTTATTTACACGGCAATGCCATATTAGAAATGAAACATTTTCTAACTATAAAATAAGGACCAGAATGATATGATGAAACAATTATGATTTAATATATTGTCGCACCACCTTGATATATTATATCTTAAAATAATAGTAGTTTGTAATATTATCAAAAATATACTTGTATTAAAAATTTAACTCGAAACTGTTTTTCGAAAAAGAAAAATATAGCTTTCCTAAAACACGTAAAAAAGAGAAGAAAAGATATCAAATTTATTACATCTATTGCAGGATGAATAATAATCTGTTTAATTTTTTAAATTATTTATAACTAAATAGATGCCGTTAAATACTTGGGTGCAAATTATTACCATATTTATTACCAAAACCATTTATTAGTAAAATTTATTATAATATTAACTGTAATATATTATATAACTGTAAAATACGTCTATAAAAGTGGCATTTTATCTAATATTTTATAACCAACTTTATATAATAGAAGATTATAAACTATATATCTATTTATTTACTTTTTATAAAGAAATCTCTTATACTTATATTTGGACCTTGAAAATATTTTTAGGAATAGGTATGATAATTAAATTTAAAAATAAATATACAGTTGATTAGTCATTTTGAACTCGGCTAATTACAATATTAAATTTGTAAATTTTCAAATAATATATTATTATATTTATTTAATTAGGGTTATATAATAATTTAAATAATAAATCAATTAAACCTCAACTGTTAAAGCTAAATTAATATTTAGTGAGTTATTGATATTATATTTATAATACGGAATTTGATTGCAAGCTGACATAGTGAAAATATAATTTTTATGTATTAATCTAATCTAATAATTAAAATAGTATTCATTTAATAAAAATTTAAATAGCCTTATTAATTTCTAAATAATAAAATTAAATCTATATATTTATTAATGGAATTATAAAAGAAATCGTAAAGGGTGGGGGGGGGGGGCAATTAAAAAAAATTTATTTTTAAAGGGATCTTAAGC